GTGCAGATGAACATGCCTCGAGGATTCACTTCTGAATGAGTTCATTGGAAGTGCATCTCACTGGTCTTAGCCAAGCAGTCGATATGACAGAATCTAAATCTGTCTGCGTGGGTTCAAAACCCACCAAAGATCAAATTGTCAAGCGATCACCAGAGTCAAAATCTGTTTCTCTTGGAATGTGCGGGTTTAAAACCTGCCAATGATAACATTTTTATTCCATGAAATCGCACCTTGACATTTCCTCATGATTTATATATGTTTGTTTTTTTCCCTGTTAGAACACACCTTGACATCGACCCATGTGTACGTTCCTGAGAGCTTCATATCACTGGTCTTAGCCAAGTAGATGTTGCAACAGAGTCAAAATCAGTTTCTTTCAAACCATGCAGGTTCAAAACCTGCTTGCAAAATATTTTGCAGTGTATAGATTCTCAGAGACCCAAGTCCCAAGTGCAAGCAAATAGGGACAGTTAGACATTTTGAAGTATTCATCAAAGTGATGTCATTCGTGTCAGTTTTATCTTTTTCAATGCAACCCAGGTGTGACTGCTTTGTACTAGTTTTGCAGCAGAATGTAGCGAGAATGCTTCTGTTGCATCTATACATTGTGGTCTGTAGCTGGGAGTATCCTTCAGCATGACATGAAAATAAAATGATGAAAATATAAATATACCAGCAGTGTTGAATTGGACAACAGATGGACGTATAATGTAGGACGCGCACAGAAATGCAGTGCTTGGTATGGGACAGGATGTGATTTCATAAAATAAAAATGTTATCATTGGCAGGTTTCAAACCTGCGCAGTCCAAGAGAAACAGATTTTGACTCTGATGATCACTTGCAATTTCATCTTTGACAGGTTTTGAACCTGTCACAGACAGATTTGGATTCTGTCATATTAACTGCTTGGCTAAGACCAGTTAGATGCACTCCCATTTAATCCATTCAGAAGTGAATCCTCAAGGTACATTTATCCTGCATTTTGTCAGTTCTAACATTAATTTCTAACATCACCCTTGAGCTCAACCATATGCGATCCTTCCGTTGTTAGTTGTCACTCGTGACCCGGTTGTTAATCCCAAGATATCACGAACATCATTGGCCCACTGTGGTGGTCTGCCATCAGCACTTTTTTTGAGCAATTGCTGGATAAACAGGTCTTGAAGTAGAGGCCCAGGAGAAGTCTGATGTCTTTTGCGATAAGAGTAGAAAAAAAGAATCAATTGCGGTGACCATATTATTGAAAGAACTGACAAAATGCAGATAAATATGCCTTGAGGATTCACTTGTGAATGGGTCCATTGGAGGTGCATCTAACTGTTCTTAGCCAAGCAGTTAATATGACAGAATATAAATCTGTCTGCGTGGGTTCAAAACCCACCAAAGATGAAATTGTTGAGTGATCACCAGAGTTAAAATCTGTTTCTCTTGGACCATGCAGGTTTGAAACCTGCCAGTTGCAACATTTGTTTTCTATAAAAATGCACCTTGAAATATGCTCATGGTCGGTCAGCTTGCAAGCTGATCAAAGTTGTCTTTAGCCAAGTGGTTGTCGCAACAGAATCAAAATCTGTTTCGATTGGAATGTGGCAGGTTTAAAACCTGTTGAATGTCACATTTTTTCTATGAGAACGTGTCTTGAATGTTGGCTCATAGACGGTATCTCAGACATTGATCTTCATTGGTCTTAGTCAAGTTGTCGCCAGAGTTAAAATCTGTGTCTCTTGAACTTTGCAGATTTGAAACCTGCCGATGACGATATTTTTATTCTATGAAATTAAACCCTGATATTTCCCCGTGGATAGTTTTCTTCAAAACCCATCATAAATGCTCTTTTCCATATCATTGCCACAATAGATTCAAAATATGTTTCAATCAAAGCCTACAGGTTTGCAATCAGTCAAATGATGCATTTCTCAGATTTTGAATCTGTTATGGCAATAACATGGCTAAGATCATTTAAGATGAGTTTTTGAGAAAACTCTTCACTAGGAAATGTCAAGGTGTGATTTCATAGGATAAAAATATTATCATTAGCAGGTTTCAAACCTGCACGGTTCAAAGAGAAACAGATTTTGACTCTGGCGACAACTCAGCTAAGATTGATGAAGATGAGTCTCTGAGATACTGTCTATGATTCAATATTCAAGGCATTTTTTTATAGAAAAAAATGTGATGTTTCAACTGGTTTCAAACCTGTTGCACTCCAATAGAAACAGATTTTGATTCTGTTATGACAACCACTTGGCTAAACACTAGTCTCAGCGGCTTTAAAGCAAACCGACCATGAGCATATGTCAAGGTGTGTTTTCATAGAAAATGAATTTTATCATTGGCAGGTTTCAAACCTGCATGGTCCAAGAGAAACAGATTTTAACTCTGGTGATCACTTGATAATTTCATCTTTGGCGGGTTTCGAACCCACGCAGACAGATTTATATTCTGTCGCATTAACCGCTTGGCTGAGAGCAGTTGGGTTCAATTCCAATGAACCCATTCAGAAGTGAATCCTCGAGGCACATTTATCTGCATTTTGTCAGTTCTTTCAACAGCATGGTCACCGTTGATTCTTGTATACTGCTCTTATTGCAAAAGACACAGACTTCTGCTGGGGCTCTTAACTTCAAGACCTGTTTACCTAACAATTTCCTTGAAAAAGTGCTGATGGCAGACCATCACGGTGGGCTCATGAGTGAAAACTGACAATAAAAAGATTGCACAGTTGAATCCAAGGTGGATGTTAGAAATTGATGTCTGCGCCCAAGCAAATGTTGCAATTGGCAGGTTTGAGCAGGATAAAATAAATAAATGATGATCATGCTATTGAAAGAACCGACAAAATGCAGATAAATGTGCCTTGAGGATTCGCTTCTGAATGTATTTATTGGGAGTGCATCTAACTGGTCTCAGCCAAGCGGTTAATACAGCAGAATCTAAATCTGTCTACGTGGGTTCAAAACCTGCTGAAGATGAATTTGCCAAGTGATCACCAGAGTCAAAATCTGTTTCTCTTGGACCATGCAGGTTTGAAACCTGCCAGTGATACAATTCATTTTCTATGAAACCACACCTTGAAATTTGCTCATGGTCGGTTTGCTTGCAAGCTGATCACAGTTGTGTTTGGCCAAGCGGCTGTTATTGCAGAATAAAAATCTGTTTCCATCGGAGTGCAACAAGTTTGAAACTTGTGGGATGTCACATTTTTTCTATAAGAACATATCTTGAATATTTGCTCATACACAGCATCTCAGACATCAATCTTCATTGGTCTTGGTCAAGTTGTCGCCAGATTCAAAATCTGTTTCTCTTGAACTGCGCAGGTTCAAAACCTGCCAAAAGCAACATTTTTGTTCTATGAAATAATAACTTAACATTCCCTCATAGATATTTTTCTCACAAACTAATCTTCAATGGTCTTGGTCATGTTACTCCCAAAATGGATTCAAAATCTGATTCTCCTGGATTGAGCAGATTCAAAACATCACTCTCTGATCTAAAGCACGATCCTCGCCTTTAACATTAGATTGATCTGCTTTGAGAGCAGGAAAAGGACGGATCCATAGCAGAAGAGGGAGGACCTGAGATCAGACTCACATTTCACTTCACTTCCCATGCTATGAGTCATAGTTAGTAGAGTCGCTTTTGCATGGTTGTACTGTGTGCAATTGATCCTTCTTGTTCATTTGGAATGATTGTTTGGCTTGAGGCTTGACCACTGCCATTTTGCATCATGATATCTTTAAGTTCTTTTGATAGACTTTGCATAGTCATACTTTGGTACTCTTGCAAGTCTTATACTTAGACATACTTCAACATACTGACACATCTTCAGACACGAGGAAATATTTCATAGAATAAAAATATCATCATCGGCAGGTTTCAATCTGCAAAGTTCAAGAGACACAGATTTTAACTCTGGCGACAACTTGACTAAGAGCAATGAAGATCAATGTCTGAGATACTGTCTATGAGCCAACATTCAAGGCATGCTCTCATAGAAAAAATGTGACATTCACAGGTTTTAAACCTGTTGCATTCCAATAGAAACAGATTTTGATTCTGTTGCGACAACCACTTGGCTAAAGACAACTTTGATCATCTTGCAAGCGAACCAACCATGAGCATATTTCAAGGTGTGTTTTATAGAAAACAAATGTTGCAACTGGCAGGTTTCAAACCTGCATGGTCCAAGAGAAACAGATTTTAACTCTGGCAATCACTTGACAATTTCATCTTTGGCGGGTTTTGAACCCATGCAGACAGATTTAGATTCTGTCATATTAACTGCTTGGCTAATAACAGTTAGATGCACCTCCAATGGACCCATTCACCAGTGAGTCCTCAAGGCATATTTATCTGCATTTTGTCAGTTCTTTTAATAATATGGTCACTGCGATTGATTCTTTTATTCTACTCTTGTCGCAAAAGACATCTTGGTATTAACAACCAGGTCACGAGTGACAACTGACAATGGAAGGATCGCATATGGTTGAGCTCAAGGGTGATGTTAGAAATTAATGTTATAACTGACAAAATGCAGGATAAATGTACCTTGAGGATTCACTTCTGAATGTATTCAATGAGAGTGCATCTAACTGGTCTTAGCCAAGCAGTTAATACGACAGAATCCAAATCTGTCTGTGACAGGTTCAAAACCTGTCAAAGATGAAATTGCAAGTGATCATCAGAGTCAAAATCTGTTTCTCTTGGACTGCACAGGTTTGAAACCTGCCAATGATGACATTTTTATTTTATGAAATCACAACCTGTCACATACCAAGCACTGCATTTCTGTGCGCGCCCTACATTACATGTCCATCTATTGTCCAATCCAACACTGCTGGTATATTTTCATCATTTTATTTTTATGTCATGCTGAAGGATACTCCCAGCCACAGACCACAATGTATAGATGCAACAGAAGCATTCTTGCTACATTCTGCTGCAAACTAGTACAAAGCAGTCACACCTGGGATATCCTTGACGCAAAGTTCAATATATGACCAAAGTCTTGATGCAAACTCGGAATGATGAGTACAAGAGCAATTTAATTCTCTCCAAAGGTCTTGACTTTGTTGAAGAAGAAGAGCAGATTACACATCAAACTTTCAAGTTTGATCCTAATGACCTGGGGAATGAGGAAGAATACATATCTGTCAAGGCTGAGATTCAAGGCAAAGATTCAAAAGAGCCATCTGGCCACTATTTGCTTATGTGTAAGGTTGAGGTGCACTGTATTTGAGACCTGCTCTTCTCTCGCTTTTTGAAAGTGTTGTATTGCAGTCTGTTTTCAATTCATCTGTTCAGCTGAGGGAAAACATTGCGAGTGACTGAACCAGATGCTTAGTCAAGCCTGGTTAGGCGCACGATGATGTGCGGAGCGCAGTTAAGTGGAAGTGCCACTATGCGTTGGCGCGTGCTAAGCAGATGTGAGGCGTGCATGCAGGTGGTTGGAGCACAGCGACTCTAGATGAGTTGAAGGGGGACCTAATAGGGGCTAAAAAGTGTGTACCACAAGGGACTACTTCAAAGGTAAACCTATAGGGAGAGGCATACAGTATGAGGGAAGTAATGTAGTAGTAGTCCCAAGTATAGTCAACTCATACTGTCTAGTGTGCAGGAAAGTGCAGATTCAGGTTTGCACAGGAGTTAATTGTTGGACAAATGATGAACAAGGATAGGGAAACTGATAGTGCTCCATACTCCTTGATGCATATATAAAAATAGGCTCATTCCTGCCCAGCACGGTTCTGAGCGTCACAGCAAGATGATGGTGGTTAATTTGTCAAGAGAGAAAAACATACATGAACTATGTAAGTAATGTTAAGTGCTCAAGCAAACTGAGAAGCAAAGCAAGTGCGTGATAATATGTAATATAAGTGTCCATGACATAGCATCATGGATTGTGTGCGCATGGCACCAGCAATACTGTCAGAATTCACAGAAATAGAATAGAAATATGCACCGATGAACCGAATGGACATGGAATGGATGGACAAAGGACGAGCAACTTTTATCAAAAAGAATCATTTCAAGCAAAAAAAATTGTGTGTTTTTAGAAAAAAATGAATTTTATCATTGGCAGTTTTCAAACCTGCAGTCCAAGAGAAACAGATTTTGACTCTGGTGATCACTTGACAATTTAATCTTTAGCGGTTTTGAACCCACACGGACAGATTTAGATTCTGTTGTATTAACTGCTCGGCTAACTAGTTGAATGCACTTCCAATGAACTCATTCAAAAGTGAATCCTCAAGGCACAATCTCAGCCTTGATATATTTGTATTTTTCCTCATTCCCAGGTCATTAGGATGAAACTTGCAAGTTTGATGTGTAATCTGCTCTTCTTCTTCTTCTTCAACAGAGTCAAGACCTTTAGAAAGAATTAAATTGTTCTTATGCTTATCCTTCCGAGTTTGCATCGAGATTTTGGTCATATATTGAACTCTGTGTCAAAAATACTCGCATTCACCTAGCAAAAAAGGATGCATGAAACCAACAGCAATGTCAATCAAGCTTGAGATCATCAGTGTTTGCTTGCTATACATTCGTGTGGAATGTGAAGGTGTGATTTCATTATTCATACAATAAAAATAAAATGTTATTGTCAAGGTGTGTTTTTTATGAAATAAATTCATCGTCGGCAGGTTTCAAACCTGCACATTCCAAGAGAAACAGATTTTGACTCTGGTGA